GTTCAGTTCCTCAGTCTAGAGATGGTGTGTTCAGTCCCTCAGCCAAGAGGTGGTGTGTTCAGTCCCTCAGCCTAGAGATGATGTGTTCAGTCCCTCAGCCTAGAGATGGTGTGTTCAGTCTCTCAGCCTATAGATGGTGTGTTCAGTCCCTCAGCCTAGAGATGGTGTGTTCGGTCCCTCAGCCTAGAGATGGTGTATCCGGTCCCTCAGCCTAGAGATGGTGTGCTCAGTCCCTCAGCCTAGAGATGGTGTGTTCAGTCCCTCAGCCTAGAGATGGTGTGTTCAGTCTCTCAGCCTAGAGATGGTGTGTTCGGTCCCTCAGCCTAGAGATGGTGTGTTCGGTCCCTCAGCCTAGAGATGGTGTATTCAGTCCCTCAGCCTAGAGATGGTGTGTTCAGTCCCTCAGCCTAGAGATTGTGTGTTCAGTCCCTCAGCCTAGAGATGGTGTGTTCAGTCCCTCAACCTAGAGATTGTGTGTTCAGTCCCTCAGCCTAGAGATGGAGTGTTCAGTCCCTCAGCCTAGAGATGGTGTGTTCAGTCCCTCAGCCTAGAGATTGTGTGTTCAGTCCCTCAGCCTAGAGATGCTGTGTTCAGTCCCTCAGCCTAGAGATGGTGTGTTCAGTTCCTCAGTCTAGAGATGGTGTGTTCAGTCCCTCAGCCAAGAGGTGGTGTGTTCAGTCCCTCAGCCTAGAGATGATGTGTTCAGTCCCTCAGCCTAGAGATGGTGTGTTCAGTCTCTCAGCCTATAGATGGTGTGTTCAGTCCCTCAGCCTAGAGATGGTGTGTTCGGTCCCTCAGCCTAGAGATGGTGTATTCGGTCCCTCAGCCTAGAGATGGTGTGTTCAGTCCCTCAGCCTAGAGATGGTGTGTTCAGTCCCTCAGCCTAGAGATGGTGTGTTCAGTCTCTCAGCCTAGAGATGGTGTGTTCGGTCCCTCAGCCTAGAGATGGTGTGTTCGGTCCCTCAGCCTAGAGATGGTGTATTCAGTCCCTCAGCCTAGAGATGGTGTGTTCAGTCCCTCAGCCTAGAGATTGTGTGTTCAGTCCCTCAGCCTAGAGATGGTGTGTTCAGTCCCTCAGCCTAGAGATTGTGTGTTCAGTCCCTCAGCCTAGAGATGGTGTGTTCAGTCCCTCAGCCTAGAGATGGTGTGTTCAGTCCCTCAGCCTAGAGATGGTGTGTTCAGTCCCTCAGCCTAGAGATGGTGTGTTCAGTCCCTCAGCCTAGAGATTGTGTGTTCAGTCCCTCAGCCTAGAGATGGTGTGTTCAGTCTCTCAGCCTAGAGATGGTGTGTTCAGTCCCTCAGCCTAGAGATGGTGTGTTCAGTCCCTCAGCCTAGAGATGCTGTGTTCATTCCCTCAGCCTAGAGATGGTGTGTTCAGTTCCTCAGTCTAGAGATGGTGTGTTCAGTCCCTCAGCCAAGAGGTGGTGTGTTCAGTCCCTCAGCCTAGAGATGGTGTGTTCAGTCCCTCAGCCTAGAGATGGTGTGTTCAGTCTCTCAGCCTAGAGATGGTGTGTTCAGTCCCTCAGCCTAGAGATGGTGTGTTCGGTCCCTCATCCTAGAGATGGTGTGTTTAGTCCCTCAGCCTAGAGATGGTGTGTACAGTCCCTCAGCCTAGAGATTGTGTGTTCAGTCCCTCAGCCTAGAGATGGTGTGTTCAGTCCCTCAGCCTAGAGATGGTGTGTTCAGTCCCTCAGCCTAGAGATGGTGTGTTCAGTCCCTCAGCCTAGAGATGGTGTGTTCAGTCCCTCAGCCTAGAGATGGAGTGTTCAGTCCCTCAGCCTAGAGATGGTGTGTTCAGTCCCTCAGCCTAGAGATGGTGTGTTCAGTCCCTCAGCCTAGAGATGGTGTGTTCAGTCCCTCAGCCTAGAGATGCTGTGTTCATTCCCTCAGCCTAGAGATGGTGTGTTCAGTTCCTCAGTCTAGAGATGGTGTGTTCAGTCCCTCAGCCAAGAGGTGGTGTGTTCAGTCCCTCAGCCTAGAGATGGTGTGTTCAGTCCCTCAGCCTAGAGATGGTGTGTTCAGTCTCTCAGCCTAGAGATGGTGTGTTCAGTCCCTCAGCCTAGAGATGGTGTCTTCGGTCCCTCAGCCTAGAGATGGTGTGTTCAGTCCCTCATCCTAGAGATGGTGTGTTCAGTCCCTCAGCCTAGAGATGGTGTGTTCAGTCCCTCAGCCTAGAGATGGTGTGTTCAGTCCCTCAGCCTAGAGATGGTGTGTTCAGTCCCTTACCCTAGAGATTGTGTTCAGTCCCTCATTCTTGATGGGTTAATAAAGACAGGTGCTGCACAGGTGTTCTAATCATCTGCCTATGGGTTCTCTAAGCCATTACTGTTATACTAATAAAAGGTTATAATCCAGGTATAAGAAAACAACCGAGCAAGTCTTGAAAAAGGTCCAGGAGTCGGAAATTAATTCCCTTAAGATAATTAGGATAATATCTCCAGGAGCTGCAAATCAATTTTGTCGAGTATAATTAAAACTTGAGAAAACGTCAAAAAATATGGAAAGTATTAAAAAATTAAGAATTGTGTTTTGTTATATATTTCGACGATTCATTGCGGTTTGAATCATTTTCTGACTAATTTAATTTTTTTAGCTCAAACACGCGAATCTTATTTCCGGAAAGATTGCCAGACGCTGATTCAGAAACAGGATCAGAGACTTCTACAACCTCTCACTAACAACGAAGATTAGTTATCTCAGTAACTCCAGTTGTCGACCTGTCTTCCGGAGCCCCGTCTTCCAAACCAGCATATCATAGATCTTAACTTCAGAATTTTACTAAATCCAAGGTAATAGTCTATAGAAATATACCGAGTTGGATGAATCTTATTAGAGTCAGCTGGCCCAATGGTTAACGCACTGGCCTGCGAGTTTTAAGACTTGCCTGCCGTGGGTACAAACCTTACCGTTTCATTATTTTTAAGGGATTTCTTTCCCATTAGTTATCTTTTATACCAGAATCTCTATAACCTGCAGATTAAGTTTTTTGTTTAGTAACTGTGATACACTTCTGATGTTCAATGACAACTCGCTGCAAAGTTCCAGCAAGGATTAAACACCCCTTCCAGTGATGCCAGGGTAACAGGTGTCATCTTCACGGGTAACACACACACACACACACACACACACACACACTAATCCTACTGACGTCGCCTGTGTGGTTCACTTCTGCTGGCTGACTTCTTCCAGCAGAGCTCACTGTTTAATGGTGTTTAAAGCCCATCAATGCCAATAAGGTAATTAAGACTAAGGACAGTCTTTTCACCACAAGACGAGAAAGTTTTAATTCTTAAAGGTTTAAAGTAAATTATCAGCATATATACAAGGAAAGAAATATACATATCGGTGTATATATCCTCCTGCCAGCAGAGTTCCAGTCTTTAACCTGAACAAAAGAATGGAAAAATAAATAATGAATAACTTGAAGAACAACAAAGATATTTTTCTAAGGATTTTAATTAAAATTAAGTAAAATAAAATTAGCAGCTGTGGTTCCAGTATGATGTTGAGACAGGAGTTTCTTATTCCCAGGATGGTCTTCTGTGATGTTTCAGAAGAAATGGTGTTGGTTATCCTGGATGGCGGTGTTCGTCCGATATTCTGGATATTCTGTCATTATTTGGCACTTCAGATTTCAGAGAGATAAACAGTCGTTATGTCCCATAATGTCCTGTTGACAGGGATCTTTCTTCAATAATTAGCGTCTACCCTGGTTGACCAGACCAGTAGCACAGCTGATAAAAAACAACACTGGTTACGTAAGGGTTAATAAATATAACATTGAAGAAAGACAAAGGCTGGTATTCTACTCCAACGTCATTACCGGTAACCAGGTAAATCAGTAACAAAGAGCAGAAATACTCCTGGTAGATCACCTTACCTGATCAGGAGCAGTGAAGGTGAAGCGACTCTCCAATCTTCAACCCACACCAGGAAAGATTAATACTACCAGGAGTAGAAATTAAAGCAAATCAGACCCGAGGAAACTGAAGTTTAGCCTCAGCCCGCTAGATGGTAGTGCGGACGGTAACACGCTAATGGTTCCAAATAGACTAAACAACTATAACCCGCCTTTTAACGAGTTTTCCTTCACAATAGGCATACAAAAGTGCATTACGCATGTTTATCTTATAATAACTCCAAAACGTCATAAGATTTACTTTCATTTGAGACCCTGATGGTTGAGACAGTGGGTGGGAGGGTGGAGAGTGGAATAGGTGGTAAGTGGGTGGAGGCTAGAGGTTAAAATGGGAGACCTGGTGTGTGTATTAGGTGGGTGATATTAGATTTTTTAGATTTTGTCACCGAAGTGGCTAGATTATTGTGCACCCAATATCCATCCTGTGGACGGTAGCGCAAGAGCATATGGATACACAAAAGGCCTAGGTTAATTTAATATGTTTATTATGCACCCCATACCCATCCTGTGGGCGGTTCAAAAGATTACAAAGGTACATAATGGGTCCAGGGACTGGACCCCAAAGTTATGATAGCTGAACTAGTTACAAAGGTAATGAACTCCAGGTAGATCTAGTCACAATCATGGCAAGTTACGAAGGTAATGAATCAGCCTCACTCCTATACATGGTTACAGTCATGAACAAATTACAAAGTAATGAACCACTGATACGTCCACACCTGGTCACAATTGTAATGAGTTATAAATACAAATATTAAGTGGGTCATACACCCACACTAGCGCGCGCGCGCACACACATACACACACGAGGGCGCACGCACAGACACATGCACATGAGCGTACTAATATATGCATACACACAAGCACGCACACCCACACACACGCACCCACACACACACACGCGCGCGCGCACGTGGTAATGCATTATTTACAGCTAGCAAAGTCAGGGTATTTCTCCAGAATGGTCTGTAATATACCACTTTGGATAAAATAGTTTGCCCTTTCTTGAACATTTCTGAGTGAGTTGTCTCTAAATTCATTAATTTTATCGCACTCCAGTACATAATGGCGCAAGGTGTGACAATAGTCCATCTGGCAAAGTTTACATTTCGTTTGGTCTACATCTGGTGGTGGGGAGAAGGGTTAATTAACAGAAATACATCTGGATTTGTATCTAGTGAGAGAAGGCTAGGAAAGGTAGTGAGTGGGAGGACTGCGCGGGACAGGCAGAATCAGGGCCACACGTGGAGTGTATGAAAAGTGCCGCTCAGTGCCGCGGTGGTGCCAGCCCGCGACGGTCTAGTACCTGCCCACCACTTCGCCCGTCAACCCTCTCAACCACGCGTGCCAGACATCCTGCTACACTGAACCACACACGTCCACCTGTGTGGACATAACTGCCCATAGTTTATTATACTTTGGGTACGATTGTAAGAGTCACTGATCCCGTGGACGTCGTTCCATGATATATTTCTCCCAAAGATTAACATTAGAATATTTGTGGCAGCCACAGGAAATAAGCTACGTTGAGCTGCACAGGGAAATGAAATTTGAAATGTAAGAGTCTCTGCTCGCTGGCTTAACCCACAACATAAGGGTATAGTTCTCGTTGCATTATTTTAGTACATGCATCTTCTAAAGCTCCGTTTATTACCCGCATCTTGACGCTGTAGAGAGAAATATTCAAGACTTGAAATAACCTGATAACATAAAACTTATCAACTTTATTAGCATACATACTCTTTCTCAAATCAAAATAGTTATATTTTATTTTGTCGAGTAACCGAAGTAAAATAACTGCATAGGCTAATAACTAAAAATTTCGACCATCAGTATTTCTAATAAGAAGAGAAACGCGATGATTTTAACTTCCAGTAACTAAATGAATTACAGACGTCCCAGATACAGCACAATAGAGACTTAAACAACTACGCAAGACTTCCTCAAAACAAGAACTCACTCACCTTACATTTCCCACCACCACCTACCATCTTACCAACAACTCCAGCCACATCCCCACACCAACGACCAGCTGGGCAGTGTGATCAAGTCTGTCTGTGGCTGTGGTCATGATGTGGACCTACGGACGATGCTCACCTCTCATATTCTCGCTGCTGCTGCTGCTGCTCTGCCTCAGGTAAATCCCAGTCGTGCCTCTGCGACAAGCTGTGTACTGCTGCTCTGAAAGTCATTATATGAGGATTAATTAACTGCCCAGTTTCTCGGGCTGGATGTGTGGAATAAAATTGCCACTTGATTCGTAATGTAAAACAGAAACAGTCACGTACAAGATTGTACTCCAAGTACAAGGACACAACCAGCTTCTTGAACCAGACTTTTTCATTACGGATTTAAAAAAAAAATTCCCTTGTATATAACTTAGATTAGAAATGAAAATTAGAATGTTTAAAAAATTTAACTGATGTTTACTAAATTATTACGATAATAATATCTAGGGGTAAAGTGTATGGTAGAGCATAGTAGGGTTATAAATGAAAGAATTAGAGGTAAGACAGAGAGCAGGATTGCAGATGAGCAAGGAGGCTTTAGAATGGGTAGGGGATGTGTAGATCAAGTGTTTACATTGAAGCTCCCACGACACCGAGTATCCTCGGATAGCAGTAAAACAGCTAGCTCTGCTGGCTGCGTCATCTTTGTAGGATTGGTTGGTCCTGTGGGTTAAGGCGTCATGTGGTTCTAGCTCACCATGAGACACGCCACTGCAACACGGGTTCGAGTCCTTGGCTAGTGCAGTGTTGTGTGTATATATATATATATATATATATATATAATATATATATATATATATATATATATATAAATATATAATATATATATATATCAAATATAGGGAGGTACCACCTCTAGAACTGTGCTGAGGACCCTCATCCTCAGAGAAAAGAATAAACTTACCTGGAGTTTACCTGGAGAGGATTTTGGGAGTCAACCCCCCCGCGGCCCGGTCCGAGACCAGGTCTCATGGTGGATCAGGGGCTAATCAACCAGGCTGTTACTTCTGGCCGCACGCAAGCTGACATACGAATCACAGCCCGGTTGGTCAGGTACTGACTTTAGGTGCCTGTCCAGTGCCTTCTTGAAAACAGCCAGGGGTATTGGTAATCCTCCTATTGTATGTTGGGAGGCAATTGAACAGTCTTGGGCCCCGGGCACTTATTGTGTTGTCTCTCAGTGTACTCGTGGCGCCCCTGCTTTTCATTGGGGGAATGTTGCATCTCCTACCGAGTCTTTTGCTTTCATATGGAGTGATTTTCGTGTGCAGGTTGGGTATCAATCTCTCCAGGGCCTTTAAGTGTATATTATCATGTATCTCTCTCGCCTGCATTCGAGGGAATACAGATCAAGGACCTTCAACCGTTCCAAGTAGTTTTGGTGCCTTATCGCACTTACGTGGGCAGTGAAAGGTCTTTGTACACTCTCCAGGTCTGCAATGTCGCCAGCCTTGAAGGGGGCCGTTAGTTCAGGGAAAACTCAACGTTCTCCCCGGAGCTGTTTGAATATTGTCTTCTCCTACCACCCCCTATATTCCATAGTCTATGTAGACTTTATTTAAAGACAAAATACATTGACAAAAAATACAATAGGGAGTAGAACAACATAGATAACATTTCAGGGCCTACATCTCGAATACTTCGTCCAGCTCCCCGGCGGTGGGCCACTTGCCCAGAATGCTGCAGGCATTTGCTCTCTGAATCTCTGAAAGAGGAAGCTGACCATTCTGTGATCCTTGGTTTCTGTGATGAGTTTTTCACCCAGCTCTTTGAGGAAATTTAGAGCACACTTGCCCCATGCTCCAAAGGTCTCCGACCCCACTGGGATGAAGTTACAGCAAGAGAGCAGGCCTTCATATTTGTCAGTCTTCTAGGTCTCCCTGTAGCTGGCGGCTCCACCCTATTCAGTTTCAGAGTATGGCAAGTAGGTGTCCACCAATGCGGCGGCACAGGTGTAGTCCCAGGAAATCTGCTTACCATCCTTCCAGGGTAGCATAGTGGCTTCATCAGGACGCTTTTGATTTCCATCAGACCTCTGTACTTGGGGTTCCCGTTGAGCTGAGCAACGGGCTGTGGCGAGGCTTCTCTTTATAAGAACATAAGAAAGAAGGAACACTGCAGTGGGCCTACTGACCCATGCGAAGCAGGTCCATGTCCCCCCCCCCGGATTAGCCCAATGACCCACCTAGTCAGGTCACTGCCACTTAAGGAAGGAGCAAGGCATCAGACCTAGTAGCACAAGTTAATGATGATAAATTAGACACATGTGCAACTCTTGGGTATCTACTCAAGATTGATGGACTGAACACATCGACTCCTCATTCTTCTCCTGTTCTTCAAGTTTCTCCTACGTATGGACTGATGAAGCCACTGTGTGGCGAAACGTTTCCTCAATAAAGATACCCAAGAGTTGCACATGTGTCTAATTTATCAACATGTCGGTTCTCTGAACCATTCATCTACAAAAAAAGCACAAGTTAGTCAGGTCCAACTCACACCCACTCATGTATTTATCTAACCTATTTTTAAAACTACACAACGTTTTAGCCTTTATAACTGTACTCGGAAGTTTGTTCCACTCATCCACAACTCTATTACCAAACCAGTGCTTTCCTATATCCTTCCTGAATCTGAATTTTTTTAACTTGAAACCATTGCTATCGTTGATATCGTTGACCTCCTCATGCCTAGCATACTCTACTTCAGATGTGTGACACACGAGACCATGAAGTTCGAATTGACCAGTCGTCGCACTGCCGCAAACACACCAATTGTCGGTGAGTATGGGAGCGGCCAGGCGATGATCAACACAAATCCGAATGGCCTGTGGGTCGAGTCGAATGCCCAGGGAGGAACTGGGAACCGTTAAAAGGAAATCTCCTGAATGTGGTGCCTTCTTCGCTAGGAGACATGCTTTCTCCTCTCCTGAAGTGTTGGTGAGCATTGTGTTGGCGATTTTTTCTATGATCGGTTTGTCCCAGTGAGACTGTTTGTGCTCTTTGGGAGGAGCTGGTCTACTGGAGGAGTCTGCTAGGGTATCCTACCGGACAGCTGCTTCAATGAGCCTGGAGTCTTGAGCTCCTACGGCACCTCTCAAGCGTTCGGGGACAGTCTCCTTAACTAGTCCACCGGAAGCCAGACACGAGGACAGAAATGCAGGTAAAGCTACCTCCATTGCTGAATAAGCTGCACTTCACTGCCTTGAGAGACCCCAAAGCTCAGCTGGTGTGGCTGGAGGAAGCTGGCGGCTTCTAGGCAAATGTTTCTTACTTCTGCTTTGGCAACGAGACGGCGAAGAGTGTTACCGACAGCAATGGGTCCGATTCCCCAATCCTTCTTCTTCAAAGCGCACAATGAGGCTCCAAAAAAGAAAAGTTCAATTTCATCTGGAATTCGCCGAGTCAAACAGTTATTGACGAAGGTTGTTAACTCGGAGAGAAGAATTGATGCAGCTGTACCGAGTACTGTGTTTGCCATCTCTTTGAGGTGTTGTGGTCGAATTCCAGTGTAACCTCCTGCAGATCCTGCTGGAAATGACACTATCGCTTTATAGACTTCTGATTCTGGCAAAATTAATTGTCCAGTGATGAGGTCTTCCTCGGGGTTGCTGTTAACGACTCTGGTGCCCTTGTTTAGTGTTTGTCTCTTAGTGCTTGGGCTGTGGCCTCATCTTTGAGAGAAACAGTGTCATCACTAGTAATTATTTTGATTGCTCCCACTGTGTAATCTTCGATTTTTTTGCTAACCTGTTTGCAAACTTTCTCGTTTCCAGTGGGATTTTTCTTGGGTCTGTCTCTGTGATTCCTGCGATGATGGGGCAGAGGGACACAATTATCTGTTCTTGGGTAGTTGCGCACTGCATTGATGACTGATGTGGTTAGCAGCTTGCCTCATCTTTAAGGAACTGCAAGACAAACATTGCCGAACAGGAGTAGGTTGTGCCTTGCTTTAATGGTGCCTCGGGCTTCTAAGTTGGTGGAACCTCCATTCACCTCCATTCCCTGCCGCATATGGACGAGCCGCCTTAGAAATGTGAGATAGGGTACTGCTAGTAGTGGATATGAATGCCATCAGATCTTCGCAACTGAGGAGATTAGCACTGAATCTTTCATCTGCTTGTGGAGGCTGTGGGCTGCTCTGTGCAGGGACCATATGTGATCCAGCATATCCACTGTGTGCTCGTATAAGGCCATTCCTGTTGAGTTCCCGATGCGCTACACACACATGACATGTGCCTCTTCTTTTACTCTTAGTTGCAGTTTCCCTGGCTTTGTGGCTGGCTAGCTGCATTACCTGCCGTACCTCAATCTGAGGGTGGAGGCCCATACCCTGGGTTGTTCATGGTGGGGTGGAGAGCATAGGCCTAGATCTGGCTGGAGGTCTCAAGTCATTGTGGAAGGCGGGGTAGGGAGGTGGAGGTGGTGTGAGGAATGATGAGGGTGAGGGCGTAGCGGAAGAGGTGTGATGACTTGGAGTGGCAGGCCTACCAGAGTTGCCCACTCACTGCACTATACGATGCCTCATTATACATGACACGACACTATACACCATATATATATATATATATATATTATATATATATATATATATTATATATATATATATATATAATATATATATATATATATATATATATATATATACTGTTTCGTATATTGTTTACTTTTGCTATATATAGGATATTTCGGTTCCGTCATAGAAATGGCTTATAATAGACTGTATATATTTTGTAAATGCTTTAGAAACATATAGCATGAAGTGCTTCCCAGAATTCGACATTGTTAAGTCAGTAAGATTAATTAATAATGGATCTCAACATTTACGTATAATAATACGTTACGAGGGAAGAGCTGTCATGTAGCAACATTCCTTGATGTACATCTACACGCAGTCTGCAAATTTTCAGGGGAAACTTGAAGCAACGTTTCAGGCCGTCCTTGACTCTTATAAGGTCGTGAATAGATGATGGTCTAGGACGGATCGAAACGTCGTCTTCAGTTTCCTTCCTCTCCAAGGCGTACGATAGATGGGGATTTTTCCGACCTTTTTTTTAAATTAACATTATTAGGTACTGGAGCACCTAGTATCCAGTACCTAAATCCGTCAATTCTTCTTAATCCTTGACTTT